GATGCCTACTGGAACAATCCTGTCCTGTTTTTGTAAATATTTTGTTATTGTCTGCTGTCTTCGGGGCATTCAATAGTTATTTTTCTTGTTTATTGATTGTAGATTTGTTTGTTTCATTCTTTTTTTTTTTTAATTTGGCTATGTCTGAGCAGGCGGGCTGTGTGTTCTTTATTGTTTGCTCGTCTGTGGGCATGATACTTTTCGCCTCCTCCAATTGGCAGTGTCAGTTGCTAAGATATGGTACAGCAGGGCAGGTCTAGCTGAAGAGGAGTTGCTAGGATGGGTTGTTTGTGGCACTTACTACAGCCACCAGGGCGGGTCAGTAATCAGTGCGGGGCAGGTTCCGGAAGGCCGTGCCTGTGCTGCTTGGTGGTGTGATGTTAAGTGCACGGTGCAGGTAGGCAGGATGAAAGGGGGAGATTGTGATGTGTGGAGCTAAGATGGGTATGGGAGAGAGGAGAGAGCAACAGGAGCCAAAAACATACAAACAAATGAAAAAGAGTGCTAAGGGAGCTTGCCGTTGGAGTGGAGAGATGAGAGACTATGAAATGTAAACAAACAAGAAGGAGAAGAAGAAGAGAAAAGAAAAGAATGAATAAATAAAAATTAGAAAGAAAAGAGAACAGCAAAGCTCCCAGGGATCCCACCGCTGTGGCTATGAGGTCTGGGGAAGTTGTTTCCCGGTGTTGAAGTACAGCCTGGCTAGAATGGGTAGCGGTATTCAGCATCAGGTATTCAGGGGACAGGAAGAGAAGAAAAGTATAGAGAGATGAGAAACTGAGTAATGAAGAAAAAGGAAACAGGAAAAAGAGGGAAGAGAAAACAAAACAAATTAAAAAAAAAAAAAAAACAAGAACAAGAAAAGCCCCCAAAAAAACAAGGAAAAAAAAAACCCAAAAAAAAGTAATGCTCTCAGGGATCCCTCTGCACGTCTGTGCAAGCTGAGGGGGTAGGTCCTAAGCCGTGTAGCACTGCCCAGCTAGAACAGGCTCCCAACTTGAGAAAAGAAAACAATTTTTTAAAAAAAGCCCCGGGATCACACCAGCATGACAGCACAGACCAGGAAGCAGTTCCACACTTGAAAGGAGCTCCACAGCCTCTTAGGAAGAAGCAAAGATGGTACCCGTAGCCAGGTATTTGAGTGAAAGGAGGGGGAGGTGGTGAGAGATAAGGAAGAAATCAAAAGAACCAGAAAAAAGCAACAGCAACAGCCAACAAATGGCACTCAGGGAGTCAGCCAGTGTGGGTGGGTGGAATCCAAGCAGCCGGTGCTTCCTGGCCAAGTGACTGTGGCCACAGGAAGCAGAGGAGGCCGAGTTGGGGTGAAGAAGGGTAGTGGGTGGGAAGGCATATATCACTGTTTACCAGTTGTTCTGTCTCCTGGTGGAAGCTCCGTGAAGCTGCTTTCTCGTACCCCCTGTTTGCTGGTCTCTGATAGGAGTCCAAGATGGCAGATCCACACTGCGTTAGCTGATAGGGGACCTCTGCATAAATCTCTCCTCGCTCTCCGTTCTCTGTCAGTTTCCCACTCCATTTCGTGCTTGGCTGAGTTCTTTATCTCTTCTTTTGATGTTTTAGGGTTTCAGGGTTGCTTTTTTCTCTGTTTGGCTTAGTTTTTCAGATCTTTGCTGTGGAGGGATGGCGTGGTGGTTCTGCCTAGAGCGCCATGATGCTGTAAATCCTCTCTCACCTCATTTTTCAGCTACTTCTCCTTTGTGCATTGTATAACCCTGCATGGCACAAACATTTAAGTGCTCGACTATTAGCCAAAAGTTTGGTGGTTCAATCCCACCCAGAGGTGCCTCAGACAACAGTCCTGGTGATCTGTTTCCAAAAGGTGACAGCCTTGAAAACCCAAGGGAGCATTTCTACTCTGTACACATAGGGTCGCCATGAGTGAGAATCAACTCAATGGCAACTAACAACAATAACTCTACTGTAGACAAAGTACTTTTCTGTTCAAAACTAACTCTTAGTTGTTTCCTTCTTCTTTCTTATTAATAACTGACACTTGGCCCCAGTGTTCCATGTTGTCTTCTTCCATGGAATCCTTACTGTTCCAACTCCTTCCAGCTCAGTGGAAAAAGTGGAGGTGACAAGTTTGCTCCTAGAACCATACCTAGACCACTGATTCGTCTCTCTTTCTCCACTGTCCTTCACTTAAAGTTCATACCATTCCTATTGGTTTAAAAAGAGTTAAAAAAACAACTGTGTTTTAGAATGCAATTGATCCAGATATAAATATACAGTAAATTTATTACAAATAAGAACAAAATGATTAACCATGATAAGATGTAAAAATAAGGAGGACTTTATTTTGGCAGTAAATTCTTATTATTGTGGTATCACCTGGAAATAGTAAGGTTTTTAAACCGTGTGGGGTTTATATATTAATCTGCACAAAAGTTATTCCATGTAATTGTCTTCAATAGAAATTATTTTCAGATTATATAGTTAACCACTTAGAATTAGCAGTGTAAGACTCTCTTCAGTCTTCCTAACAATTTACTATGGTGTATATGCTTCAAAGAAAGGGGAAGTCTTTGAAAGCACTGAAGACCTCAAGAAGACAAGTTGTAATTCACTCAGAACAAACTTCATTACACATTGTTAATATGGTTAGTAGTAAAAAACATACACTGAGTTATGTTTTGTTTTACAAAACTCTATAAAATTAAAAGATTTGAATTAAACTCAGAACACCTGGATGCTACCTGTCGTTAAATATTGGCTAATATATTTGAAACACTAAATAAAAAGAGAAACTATGTAGAATCTTATATACATTATCAAAAATAACTATTGAACTTGCATTACAGTTTAAAATGAGATTACTTAAAATATGGATTGTAAATTCTTCTAACTTTCATGGAAACAGATTTAATCTTGACAGGTGAGTTGTTTTTGATCCATGTACCCCACTGAATTCCAGTTTCAGGTAATTTTCTGGGGAAGTGATGAATGCCATTCAAATTTGCTAGGCCACACTGGTTGAACCACCAACCGGTGTTGTTACTGAAGTGACTGCAGCTCTTTACAGGCTGACCGTGGACCAGGCATGTAGGCTGACACCCATCATTATCAACATCTGATGTGCTGAAAGGCATTGCATTTTGATTATCTTCCTTTCTGAGGCCCCGGAATGCATCACCTGGATGAAATAGATTTTTTTTTAATAATTGAATTTAAAGATGCTTTTCATTATTTTAATTGATCATTATCAGCCTATTATGCAAAATCATTGCATCTAAAAATAAGGTTTAAATTCTTTTTCTACTATTTATTATGTTAAAATCTCTCTTCCAGATTGCAGTATACCAAAATCTGGTGATGAATTCCTCAACATGATAAGCATCGTTAAGTGGTCTTCTGAGATAAAATCACAACCACAAATGGAAGTTTTGGCTGTGTAGGCAGAATCAGGTGGTTTAGGCCAAAAATAATGATGTATATACCTATCATATTTCAGAGAAGAGTCATAATTTAGATTTAGATTTGACTTAATTTAATTAACTAATTAAATTAATTTAGATTGATGATTAAAAAAATCAAATCACTTACACGTGATAGGTTTTCCTCCCTCCTACCATTTTACTTCACTTTAGATAGAGAGGTATAGAAGAAGGTGAAATACCTACCTTTAAGAAACATAGATTTGTAGTTGCAGAAGATGCTTGGTTTTATTTAGGAGCCACTAAGTTTATATAAAGCCAAAGCCCTCAAGAAAAATTCAGTTACTCCTGAAATGTGCCTTTTCTTTGTAGCTCTTCACGTGATACACGGACTAATTGGATAGCAGCTAAAGCAGTACCATTTTTAAAGGGCTTACATTGGACATTGTATGTACAGTATCCCCGATCTTCACAGAAACCCTTCAAGATTAAGTATCTTGTCCAAGGCAACCCAGTTAACTAAGTAGCAGAGACAGGAGTTTTGTTTTATAAAACTCTATAAAATTAAAAGATTCCAATTAAATCCATAGTACTTAAATTTCACCAATAGTTCAACTTTGGCTAATATGTTTTGAAACACTAGCTTAAAAAAAGAAGCTCTGTAAACTCTTGGGAGAAACCAAAGCCCATATTTATTTCATTATGCTTCTGAGTGTTTGGCATCTCTTGAGACGCATCTTTGAGGACCATGGAGAACTTCATCAGCACCCGTGGCCCATCTAATACCCCACCTCTGCTGATTATCAAAGCCTCTGACTGCCCTTCATTGGAAACAAAATAGCCACATTTCAGGTGTTTGTCAGGGAGATATACTCTTCCATACCCTACAGGGCAATATCTTTCAAAAGTTCAAATGAGAGAGACAATGCTTATAGGGCATTGCCTGAATTATGTGATGATTTCACAACTACTCTTCCTTGAATAAGTCCAACCACCAGAAAGATCATCCGTCATATTGGCTCCTCACTGTATTAAATTTAATAACTTATAATTAAAATATAATTCAGAGGTCTGTTTCTTAAGAAATAGCCCTTTGAATCTCACCACTGTGTTTTCTCTGAGAGTGTGGTTGGAGAATATGACACATTGTTTTCTCTGAGAACTCAGAGACATCTCTTTCAAGTTTTAGAATCAGAAATATTTGTGCTTCTCGTGAAACAACTGTACTACTAAAATGTTCAAATTTCATATTTCTTTTTTGCTCTGATCTAAAAGCCAAATGTGCGGCCTACCTCTACCACACACATGATCACACTTAACTGTTTGGTTTTGTCTGCTTCTATCCTTACATTCCACTGACTCCTTTTCCTTTAGTTGTTTTGATCATATTAAGTGATCAACAGCTGAAAGTTATTTAACTGCTTTGTTGGAAAAATGTAGAGAAGACCGTGGCAAAATATGAGGGTTCTGTAATGAAAAGAAACTTTGCCATTACAAATCTTATCCTCTAATTAGATCCAGTTGTCTTTCAGAGAATCCAGGGATGGATTATCCAATAAGCAAGGTACACACAGGCTTACTTGTGCTTATTTACTAATCCGCAGTGCACAGTTTCACCTGTTTTTCACCACATCAAAGGGCGATGTGGTGAAACCCTTGTGAAATTGTGCACTACAGATTAGTATGTAAACACAAGTAAACCCGTGAATACCTTGCTTATGTAAACCTGTGCACACCTTGCTTACTGGTTAATCTGACCCTGGAAGAACCCATACATAAACTTTTCCTAACATATTATGTTTCACATTTAGATCTTTACACTCTCAGAGATGAAGCACTGAAAATTGTATTCAGGTAGTCCCCAATTTACAGCATATTCTAGTTACAACGAACCACACTTACGGCCTTCGGTTTTGGGTTTGTTTTGGGGTTTTTTTGGTACATTTTATCATTAGTAATATGTACTACATACAGTGCTGCAGCATGTAATTTGTTAATGTTATCATTCTCCAATGTAATGTTTCCAACCCCCAATGACGAAGATTGGATTTATAAAGATACTGATAATAAAAGGTAATAATAATGAAAACTAAAAAAAAGTAAGAAAATGAGATATTTGACTTCCATTAGAACCAACTTACAGTGAATGGAGGCCAGGTAAGTCGGGGACTACCTGTATTGTAACTCTTTAAATTTTTACCTTCATATCAAGACTTAAATTTCAGACTTTCACCTACTATCCCAAGCCTAAGCCCCTCAGATGTCACAGATGGCAACCATACCGGACAATTCTCTGCTCTGTAATTTTCCTCCTTCCGTGCCTTGACTGCAAGCTGCTTCCTTTGCCAACCTTCACATGCCAAAAGCTTGTCCATTGCTCCTAGTACAGACCAGTGGCTCTCAACTGCAAAGGTGCCAACATATTCATCCATGGAATGTGGATACCACAGAAGTGTAACTAGGATATGGCAGGTATGGCAGGTAGTGCACTAGCCCTGGGCGCATGGCGCCACTGAATAGTTTCTATTAACCCAGTAGGGCCAGCGGTGTATCTACAGAAAATGGCGCCTATGGCAAGCACTGAAATTGCGCCCCTCTCCAAACATTGGATGCTCATCTTTTAGATAACTTTACCATAATATCAGCTCAAAAATACAAGTCAAGCTCATTAATCTTTTAGTTAACACATTACCATGCCTGAGAAAGGATGTTGGGATGTACCAGGTTAATAGAAACTGCTCAATGGCACCAAAGGTCCAGTACAGTACCCTAGATAACACCGTTGATACCTGAGCCCAAACTTAGTGAATCAGATTCTCCAGGAGCATGTACTTTAAAAAGTGTCCTAGATTAAATCTAATATTAACTTCTTGTTGAAAACTACTCTTCCCTGAAGATTTTCCAGATATAACACTTAGAATCACTCTCTCTCTTTTTAACCCCCAAAGCTCTATCAGTATTCTGTGTTTCGATTTTGCCTACCTCCCACTCTATATTGTGTTCAGTTAGAGAGCTGACAACATATCTCATTCATTTTTGGACTTCTAACAAGTAATATTTATGATCAGCAACAACATGAGAGTTGAATTTAGCATTTCTTAACTCAAGTACCTTTAAAATTTCAGCATCAAAATACAAATTTAACATGAAATACTTTGAAGTGCTAACAAACTAAAATTATTTGGAAATGCGTAAATGCACTAAAGCATAGTGAAAAGAGCACTAAACTAGTTGCTCTATATCAACCTGCATTCTTGCCCTGGCTCAGATGTAGAAAACTGAGAATCTTGGGCAAGTCGCTTAGTCTGTTAGGTTTCCTCACCTGTGAAGTGAGAAGAATGGAGATCAGCTCAAACGGTCTATAATTTCTAAATGTCAGCCTCTCTGAACCTTCCCAGCCTACCTCACAGGCTATATATGTCCAAAGAATCAATTGAGATTACATACAGCAAATTGTAAAGATAGAAAACACCTCAAAATTAAGATTTGGTACAATGATCACAAGACAGTTTCAAAACTCAAGACATGGCAATTTTCTCAGTTTTGTTATCACATGTGTGTCATATATTAAAAGAAATGCATTTTTATCTTCACCTAATATTGAGTCAGTTGTACTTAAGTCTTTTGGATAATTTTAGGAGTAAAAACTTACCAGCATTTCCCGAATACCGTCCTAAGTGCATTTTAAAAAATCTTGTTTCGTCCTCTAGCCAAAAATTATCATAGGAGGCATATGCTAATGTGTCATCTTCAGATTTCAAAGCCACATACAGCATAAAACTGGTATTCTTCTGATTCACAATATAAAATATCTTTTTCAGTCCTAGCCAAAATTCTCCTGTAAAAGAAGATGCTTTGTTTTAATATATTTTGATACAAATTAGAATAGCTCATTATTGTTTGGTGTTACTTAATGTTTCAGTAACTCTGAGATGGTTCACATAAATAATTTGAGAAGACTGGATGACTCTAGTTCAAATTATCAATGTTTGTATGATTTATTTTTTTAAAAATCCACCCACTTCTTCTTCACTAGGTTGGGGATACCAAACTCTCTTTCATTTTTATCTCTCCAAAAGTTCATTTAAAGATTAACAGAGTAAATACCCAAGTTTTACCTTCAGGCATATCAACAAAAAGAGAGTTGAAATTTTATGACAGGTAACAAAATGATGTGTACCAGCAGATGTAGGAGGTTTAACCTCCAAATCAGCAGCTCCTAAAGAAACATATGCTGAAAAGGCTCAGTGGAAATTTTTTTTTTTTTCTGTCTTGTAGAATACTTTCTGAACAAATATTTCTTTGTTATAATGGAGTTTGTTAATTGCCTATGACTGCAAACATCATGTAGCCACATTGGAGTATCCCCAGGTTTAGTCAATATTTCTAGAAGCATTGTAGATCTAGGATGAATTCTTAAACTCCTTAGATCGACTACATACTTCTTGCATGCGTATTCTAGCTAATGGCATTCTATCTCCCTCTACGTACCATGCCATACCTTAAATGTGTACACTTCTGTTTTGAGATATATCCCTCTACCTGAATTACAGAATTACTGAAAGTAAGGGTTTAATCAAAACAAACTTCAAGGAGTAGAGAATAGTGTGATAGAGATGAAACTCTTAAAACTATAGCTCTCCAGGGTTTACAGGCACACTTAAACTACATAATCCCTTAGAATTAAAAAGTTTCCTGAAGAAGTATAGGAAGAAAGGGAATGTAGTAGACTGGGTCCCTAAGGGATCTGTTTAGTCTCTCAATCTTTAAGTCTTCGATTTATGTGTCCCTGCCTTCTTTCCCGTCTACCCCAATGCCAAACTTGAGATTTAATTATCTATTTTCCTTAATCCCAAATTTGGAGCCTTGGTGACACAATGGTTAAGAGCTTGGCTGCTAACCAAAAGATCAGCAGTTCGAATCCACCAGTCACTCCTGGGAATCCCTACGGGGCAGTTCTACTCTGTCCTATATGATAGCTATGAGTCGGAATCGACTCAACAGCAAAGGGTTTGGAAGTACAAAGCAGCATCAGTTTATATGAAGGACATCTGTCTGAAGACCTTATTATTCAAAACTCACATAATTTCCCCCATACACAGAAAGTAAGTAAGATGACAATTCAGAGCCTGTAGATCTACGATTACTTAATTCAAAAGGAAGCACTCAGTGGAAAGTTAGAGATAACGTCGAGAAAATAAAAGTATATTAACTGCACTCATACCAAGACACTTATTTGATTTTTCTTATCCGTAGCATTTTATTACATTAAATGTCTCTTCTAAAGTCATTGGCATCTAGTAGGGTTTTCTAGCACCAGAACTAGCACCACCACTTACTGACCCCTTGGATGATGTTATTGTGGGAAGTTTAAAAAAGATTTTAAATTACAATAGCAGTAACAATTAAAATAGCAGCACAAATATTACCAAAATCACCCACAGAAGTTCCAAGTAATGTAGAATTCTGCAGGGTTCAGAAACAGTGGTGTTTCTATTCTCCAGCAAAAGTGGTGCGGCCTTGTGGCAATAATGTAAACAGATATTACAATTCACCTGGGGCATACATTTTTTTCAAATTTTGAACATATTAATTTGTATTGATATTTTTATAAAATACTACATCCAGTTGACATAATTTGAATTTGTATGGCAGTGTATCTCAATTCTCCATTTTGTTTGCTTATACAGATACAGCATACACCTCAAGAATTTCAAGGTCCATGACAATCCTGCCCACTGAGTTTTTTATTCTACAAATAGTAGGTGAGCACTTACAATATGACAGTACACTGCTGGTTACATAGTAGATACCTGATAAATTCCCAGGTTAGAATTTTCACTCAGATTATATTTTGACAAATATCTATAAATAAAGATATCCAGATCCCAACCAAAGACCTACTTACGACAAAAGAGTGCTTTAACTCAGATTTCGATATTCATGAAGATTTGACCTGTCTTATTAGAGATGTGATCAATAGGGACATTGTCTATAACAGTCATACTAAAAAGGAGAAAAAGGATAGAGGAGAAATACATTAAGTCTGACCTAAAAGGTCACCAAATCCATCCAGATAGTCACACCACAACCTTTGGAAATCAATTACTCCATCAATCCTTTTTTGTATCACAGTCCATCCACCTCCTCTGTAATCCATGTCACACATTACCTAAAATTGATACAGAGAAGAAAAAATATATATTATTTTCATTCTTCTCTAATACTGTATAGCTTATGCTTCATCCTTAAGCCTAAAGAAAAGATCCACTGAAAGTTTCCAATGCAATTGTATTCCATTAATATAAGTAGATTTTTAAAAATCCTTAGAGACAATACTGTTTATTATAGAACAAACTTGTAGCTTACCTAATTACCCTGTATCAGTTATTTTTTAAAATGCATAAATGATTGTAGCATCTTAAGTTTATCCTTGTATTCCTCAACTCTAGATGTATTTTTCAGCTTAGTAATAACAGTGCTGATCTGATGTGGCAGAGTGCCATATATATTTCTTGGAAAATTGTTTTTTCCTTGCAATTAAAACATTGATTTTTTTTATAGTGTTAAATATGCCTGAAGCTGATTGCTCTCTTCTCCAACAAGCCTAGAAGGCCTGTGTTCAGATGGGCATCTTCAGACAGAAAGGCGTATCTGTGCCCACATCTCAGCAGGCTGTACAGGTGCCTCTGTTCATGCTGTGTAAAATGTCCCTGAGAGCACCCTCATAAAGGACCCATAGGAGTGACATGGGGAAAAAACCAGATAATCTCTCTCCTTCAGAAACTTCCCACACGGAGACAGAGAAAGGCAACGTGGAAAAAGTCAGGGAGCCAACGCTTTCCCAAAAGAGAAGTAATTATTCATCCTACTCCTCACAAAATTAGAAGCCTTCCCTTTCCACATCTGTTCAAGCCCATTTTTTAATCTGTAGGAGTAATTTAGGTAATTTTTTATTATTCCCCACTTAATTCCCAATTTTTTGACATCTTGTCAATAAGAATTCAAAAAATAATGTTAGTAACTCTAAGAAAAACTGGTAATATCTACTCAGAAAAAAATATTTTATTGTCTCATAAAGACTAAGATGTATCAATCAGTATCATAAACTTTCTTGTGCACAAAGAAAAATTACCCAAAAAAATTAAAGCTATGTATAAATATATCACCTATCAATAATACATAATTTCTAGGAGATATTTCTGCTAGAAATCCTAGCATAGAACTACTAAGGTTAGAGATATGAATATTTTATTCAGTTTAAGAAGAATGGATCAGCATTTCAATCTTCGTCACACAGCAGCAAAAGATTTTTTTAATTATTAATTCCTTATGTAATCACATAAAATTGTTTGTCTTCAAAGAAAATTATAACCATATGTAGGCAAAGAAATCAGAAATATTTTTAGTAAGCCCCAAGCCAAAACAGACAATTATTCTCTAATATCCATAAGGTAATTAAAGCAAATAAGTATTTATATAGCAAAGTTCTGCCTGCAGTAAGGGCAGTATAAGATTCTGCACCAAATGAAGTTACTTCAGAGAGTGTAACCATGAAAACTCAAATAGAAAAGTGAAAGATGAATTGTCTAGCCTTTTACTGGTTTAGGGATTAGAATTAAGAAAACCAAAATTTTGAAACTGGAAGTTTTATTAATTTATAAAAAAAATTTTCAAGAAAAAAATTTAAATATTAAAACAGTTAAAATGTTAATGTTAATTAAATTGTTTGGATGTTTATCTTATTGCACATAATAAGGGAAAAAGGTCCGTAGGTGGCACAGATAGTTTGCATTCAACTACTAACCTAAAGGTTGACAAACACCCTGCCAGTACCTTAGAAAAAAGGCCTGGTGATCTGCTTCTATAAAGATTACAGCCAAGAAAACCCTATGAAGTAGTTTTACTCTGTGATACATGAGGTCACCATGAGTTACCATTGACTTGATAGCAAGGGGTTTGGTTTTTGGTTTTTAATAAGGGAAAACTTTACCTCAAATGGGTAACTAGCTCCTTCTGGGTGGATTATGTATAAGCCACTTGGTGTTTTGGTGACAGAGCCAATGGTATCTTTAATATCAGTGCAATCCAAACCTAGAAAAGTAAAATTATTTAGAATATGTTCAAATGTACGTTTAAGACTTAATCATTTTATAATAGAGAATTAATAGTGTTATCTGAAATTGGTATTAGAATCCCCAGAAATAATGTGATGGACTTCTTGGAAATGAAAAATAATGTCAATTTTAGAAATAAAGAGAAAATATATGGAAGAATGGGGATTTAAGAATTTATGCTATAATGAGCCTTCACTAATAAAATCACTGTTAATGATTGGTATTCTATACTGTTTAAAAGTTTCATTTGGAATCAACACTTATTTAACATATTTTAAAATTATGTATCCTCTTTCCCAATAAATAATGCCCTTTCAGGAATCTAGGTTTATCTTAGTAGGCATAATGTGTAAAGGAAACTATATAAATGGAGAGAAGGAAACCCAGGGGATAAATGAATTAACTGCTATTGACACTCATTTGACTACCCTGCTTGAAACGTCAGATACTCCAGTGTGTTTAGGGACTACTAAACCCTGGTGGCGTAGTGGTTAAGAGCTATGGCGGCTGACCAAAATGTTGGCAGTTCAAATCTACCAGGTGCAATAGAATTCAGCAAAATATCAAAAAAATAATTCACCATGATCAAGAGGGATTTATACCAGGTATGCAGGGATGGTTCAACATTAGAAAAACAATCAGTGTAATACATCACATAAATAAAACAAAAGACAAGAACCACATGATCTTATCAGTTGATGCAGAAAAGGCGTTTGACAAAGTCCAACACCTATTCATGATATAAACACTCAACAAAATAGGAATAGAAGGGAAATTCCTCAGTATAATTAAGGGTATTTATATAAAGCCAACAGCCAACATCATCCTGAATGGAGAGACTATGAAAGCATTTCCCTTGAGAACGGGAACCAGACAAGGATGCCCTTTATCACCACTCTTATTCAACACTGTGCTGGAGGTCCTAGCCAGAGCAATTAGGCTAGAAAAAGAAATAAAGGCATCCAAATTGGTAGGGAAGAAGTCAAAGTATCTTTATTTGCAGATGATATGATCTTATACACAGAAA